ATAGCTATTTATAATGCTCGCTAAATAATAAAAAGATAAATTACAGTGAAAGCAATGAAAATTGTGTAGGTTTTGAACCAAACTAAATGACAGTAAACCTTTTTTTGATTTATGGTATTTTCTTATTTTGACGTTTTGAGCTCTTTTGTGTTTAGAACAATATATACTAATTTTTAAAATATCAAGTTGAATTTTTGTTCAATTAAAAATCTTTGAAATGCGACTGTAGCTTTTTTTCCCCAAAACTTTGTCTTCAAAATAAGGGTGTGTCTTATATTCCAAAAAATACAGTATCTAGAAATTGGCTTCATACGTTCTGACGGAACCAGTAGAAACTAAAGAAAAAAGAGTTGTGCTTGACTTCTTGTATCTAAAACTAGCTATGATAGGCCTATGTTCAATAATGTTTTCAATAATTCTGCTTTTCATTTAGAAATTTGTCTAAAAGTATGACCATTTTATGTTGAGTCAAGTTTTAAAATTTTATTTTCAAAATACACCCCCTACCCCACCACCACATCCCATTTAGCTAATTGTAGTCTACAAAATTATTTTTATAGGCTTATGTAATGAATAATACTTGATAGAGACTAATATTTCAATAATACTTACCCTGTATGTTAAAATCTATAGTAGGCCTGGAAAGTGGCTGTCATTAAATATTATAAAAAGTAAAAAAAAAAAATTATATTTTGTTGTTTGAACCTTCACCCCAAAGAAGACAAGTAAAACCAGGTAGGTGCCACTGAAAATTATAAAAAGCTTCAACCAGCCAGTAGTTGACACACCCGAGGAAACTGTCCTAGCCCTGTAAAATGTCTGTGACGGTGCCAGATACACATATTTAAATGTGAACAAAAGTTAATTATTATCATTATTTTCATTTAATAGCTACGATTATATCATTTTATTCAGCAATTTAGAACAAGGTTCTTACCAACATATTGAAACTATGCTTGTTTTCATGTAACAAAACAATAGTCTGACATTGTATTATCTCTTATTTTGTTTACATGTCGATCAAATCGGCTTTTCTGCCAGTAGTTTCAGCTCCATTGCATTTAAGTGCTGTCGTAATTATGCTAAGATTATAATTTTTACATTTCTCATTTATTTTAGTAGAATTGGTAAAATAGACATCAGGAAAACAAGTGAAATTTGTGTATCACTAACAGGCTTATTGACTGACCAAATGTGAAACGTGCTGGCTCAGTGCTGGGACCTCATTGGTACTGGTGCCATTGTGCGTTAGCAGATTCGCACACAATCCCTTTTTAGACTTTTAATTTGTGTGAATATAAATTTTCATTATACACTCATTTGAAAGACTAGCCTGTTGTGTTTATAACCCTTAGCTAAATTTTAACAGAAAAGTTTTTCATTCAGGTGCTATACGAGTTATTTATTTTATTGCGTTTTGAATGACAGTATGATTGTTTTACAGATTTCTAAGAAAGTAGTTGCTTATTTTTTAACCTGTGTATTTAACCTGTGTATTAACCTGTGCATCATGATATATTTACTTTTATTGTGATATTTTGGTTTTTATTATTTTACTATATGGTTGGTTATGTTCTATATTTATATTTTACATTATGATTGGTGGTGTATTTATTTCATTATTTTTTGATTTGTGGTGTTATGATTATGTCAGTGATCTGGACCTAACCCAAGCTCCTGCCTGGGCAGTGAAAGTAAGAACGAAGGATGAACCAGCATGTTTGTTAGGTGAGCTATATTATGACTGTATACTTTTGTGAACTTATAGCTATATCAGCTGCAGTGGTAACTATCTAATTTGTAGAAACAGTGGACTTAAGATAGACATACTACTTAAATTATTTAGAAAGCTTTAATTGATATATAAAGTGATCTCAACTTTTCAATATGCTGTATTTATAAGTAATTATTCTCCTGTTGTCAGAATTTTATTAAACTATTTTGTTATCCAAATACTCTTAACCTCCAATTAAATTACAGTCAATAAACATCCAGCTTAATCTGGCACATTATTTTTTCATTTCAAGGCGATTGTTTTTGTTTTTTTTTACTTTCCATTGCTAGGTATTATTTTTAACAACTAAAATATTAAAGGAAGCTCATCTCATATCAAAGTATTGAAGTTTGCAAGGCTATGCTCAAGGAGAAGCCTATCTTTTAAGAGTGCTCATTTTGAAGACATGATTTTAACCCTTTTCTTTTTCAGCTGTTTTCTTTCTTAATTTAAAAGTTAATATCAAACGGATGTTGACAATGATACATGTTCAAACTTGTTATATCTATTAACCATGAGGTAGTTAGGCTTAAATGAGATTGTTTTTGTAATTTAGCAAAATAATATACATAATTAGTGCTTTGGTATGTTTAACTTTTTTATGCAACATTTGTTTAATTTGTCAATATTTATCAACCAAGTACTGTCATTTAATGTGATAACATCATATTAAAAGTAGAACTTATTGGTTAACCCTTTCAAGACGGGTCATGGGTGAAAGGCCATGTGATCTTGTTTGTTGACTCGCTTTCAAAATTGTATTAAATTAGTATTTCATGAACTTATGTCAATAAGTTTGGTATCAAACTGTAGATTATAATTCAAGTTTTAGTACTATATATTACTTAATTTCTTAATAAAAGCAAATATTTAAAAAACACAGACAAACATCAAGTTTTGTGTGTCACATGGTATGTTGAAGGCAGCACTGGTTCAAATTAGATGTTTGTGAAGTCAAAATACTAAGTCTATAGTTTTGAATGAAATAGAAACTCAAATTAT